TGCTGCTGATGCCGGTGCAATAGCTTCGAAAAAAGCAGCTCCCGGCAGCAAAACACCATGGCTCCGAAGGACGAGCAAGTTCCAGAACCACGCCAAAAAAAAACCCAAACGTGTCGTCTGAAATGCTAGAAAAAATGTGCTAGAAAAACAGCAAAAAAACAGCATAGAAACAGCATAGAAAAACAGCATTTGTCGATTGTCGAGAGATTCTGTCGCCTACGGCTGCTCGCACGACTGGTGGCGGCGGCTGCTGCTGCTGATGCCGGTAAACCAGCTTCGAAAAAAGCAGCTCCCGGCAGCAAAACACCATGGCTCTGAAGGACGAGCAAGGTCCAGAACCACGCCAAAAAACTCCCTAACGTGTCGTCTGAAATCCTAAAACAGCACATTGTCGAGAGATTGTCGAGAGATTCTGTTGCCTGCGGCTGCTCGCAGAACTGGTGGCGGCGGCTGCTGCTGCTGATGCCGGTAAAACAGCTTCGAAAAAAGTAGCTCCCGGCAGCAAAACACCATGGCTCTGAAGGACGAGCAAGGTCCAGAAGCACGCGAAAAAACTCCCTAACATGTCGTCTGAAATCCTAGAAAAAAAGCATTTGTCGAGAGAGCTTGTCGAGAGAGAGAATTGTCGAGAGATTCTGTCGCCTACGGCTGCTCGCACGACTGGTGGCGGCGGCTGCTGCTGCTGATGCCAGTAAACCAGCTTCGAAAAAAGCAGCTCCCGGCAGCAAAACACCATGGCTCTGAAGGACGAGCAAGGTCCAGAACCACGCCAGAAAACTCCCTAACGTGTCGTCTGGAAATCTAGAAAAACAGCATTTGTCGACAGATTCTGTTGCCTGCGGCTGCTCGCAGAACTGGTGGCGGCGGCTGCTGCTGCTGATGCCGGTAAAACAGCTTCGAAAAAAGCAGCTCCCGGCAGCAAAACACCATGGCTCTGAAGGACGAGCAAGGTCCAAAACCACGCAAAAAAACTCCCTAACGTGTCGTCTGAAATCCTAGAAAAAAAGCATTTGTCGAGAGAGATTGTCGAGAGAGAGATTGTCGAGAGATTCTGTCGCCTGCGGCTGCTCGCAGGACTGGTGGCGGCGGCGGCTGCTGCTGCTGATGCCGGTCAAACAGCTTCGAAAAAAGCAGCTCCCGGCAGCAAAACACCATGGCTCCGAAGGACGAGCAAGTTCCAGAACCACGCCAAAAAACCCCCCAAACGTGTCGTCTGAAATGCTAGAAAAAATGTGCTAGAAAAACAGCAAAAAAACAGCATAGAAACAGCATAGAAAAACAGCATTTGTCGATTGTCGAGAGATTCTGTCGCCTACGGCTGTTCGCACGACTGGTGGCGGCGGCTGCTGCTGCTGATGCCAGTAAACCAGCTTCGAAAAAAGCAGCTCCCGGCAGCAAAACACCATGGCTCTGAAGGACGAGCAAGGTCCAGAACCACGCCAAAAAACTCCCTACTTTGGACCTGCCTGGGACTTAGGGACTTATAAGTTATCATGTAAGTGTAGTTATAAGTGGATAAGTTATGTTTAAGTTGCTTTATAAGTGGTTAAGTGTCTGCTAAGTGGTTAGAGGTTAGTTGGCACTTACTATGAACTTAGGGGTACTTATAAGGTGGCTAAGT